GAGGGTTGGATGACTACATCAATGAGTGGCTAAATATCTTTTTGGGGCTAGAGTTAGCCCCAAGCATGCCTTCTAGACCTAGATGTTTTGTATTTTGAGGGGATTTGTGTTGTAATCTTGTCTTGACATTTGATTTATACATGAATCTTATTTTTACAATGATTTGTGTTGTTTAATACTTTCAATTGATCATTTCATTCTATTCATATGTCTATATATGCTAGAATAGATGTTCATGTATTTATCTCTTGGTCTTGTGATATTGATTCATGTCTTTGTGTATTGATGCTATGAATCTAGAGATTGTTAAGGCATAGTGCTTAAATAGAATACTCTTGTGATTTGTTTGATGATTCATACTCATTTTTTGATGGATTGTGCCTCTACCTTAGTTTAGTTAGTTTAATTTCCATGCTTCTAGCTTAGTTGTAGTGTAGTTGCCTTATTTTCCTAGATAGGAGGACATCCATGCTTGTTGTTTGATATTCCATACTTATGAATACAAGTAGTATAATTCTCTAACTTGTTAATGTGTTTGATTGTAAGCTTAAAGGAAGGAATAATGGCTTAGTTTGATATATTGTGCTATTCATTAGGTTGTCTAGACATTATATGCTTAATTAGTCATCCATACTTGTTGATTGAATCAATTACACCTCTTTGTATTGCAACATGTATTTCCCTTCATTCATTACACATTGAGTGTCTAGAAAGGTGATGTTTAGTGGTGACCTCTAAATCCCAAGACCTCTCACTCTTGTTCTCTACCCTTTATTTATTTTAATTACCTTGTATTGAATTTATTTATAATGTAGTTTCATTAACCAATCAAGACACCTTTTGATCACTCGACCTACTAATCCGACCTTATTTCCATTCCAAACACGCATCCGATCATTTGGGACGATCTCTACTCACCCTAACTATATTAGTAGTTAGAGGTAATAGTGGCACTTTATAAATTTAAACTTGGCCACACTTTATTGCAATTTAGTTGCTTCGGCAAGCGACACACCAATCAACAACATCGTAAATGAATTGGATTTGATTTGGAATTTTAATACCTACGGAATAAAAAAGTACTTCTTACTTTCAAGGTGTTTGGTGGATTCAGCGCCTGCAGAATTAATATATAAAGCAAACAAATAGCGGATATATAATTGGAGCTTTAAATTCAAATGCAATGGAACCTCTGCGAGTCTGTAAACTGTTCTCATGAAGACAACGTATTCATTTTGATATTGTAAAACAAGATAAATTGATTCAATTCCATTGAACATGCCACGAGAAATGGTATGTAGATCTTGTGAAGCAAGATGCATACATTTTAGATTTTGTAAAGACGAAGTATTTTTTGTGAAGCAGCCTACTAGGGTCATGCCATGTAGTAGATTTTTTGCAGACCATGATATGATTTTATTTTCTAGATGCCATATTTTGTGTATTTTAAAAAAAAAAAGAGAAAAAAAATAAAGAAAAAAAAAAGAGGAAGAAGAGGAGTAGATTCAAATGAATAAGAATTGGTAATTATTTTTTCACTTGATGTTTAGCATTTTGCTCTTTTTTTTTTTTGGCTTTTTTAATTTGTTATTTGAAACAATATTTCATAGAGTTAACGAGTTTTCCTGCTGTACCACCAGTTAATCTGAATCTGATTATTGACAATGATTATGCATCTGTTGAACTTTGTATTGAGGTACTTTTAACTAGCTCTGTAGGCTTGGAATTCATTGTCTAGAAGTCCTGTAGGTTTATTCAATATTTATGTTCTTACATTTTTGCCATTTGAATTGTGACAGGAGTCCTTTTATCTGTTACTCTTCCCGCCCTGTACAACGGACATGAAGAGCATGTTGATCCGTATGCTGGTTTGATCCACCAAAATTCTTCAAAACACTAAAAGATAGTGGATGAAAGTGTTATTAGCAGAATCCCACGGAGTTTAGCCAAGGAAAAAGATTTGTGAACCAGATGTCCTGCATAAGGATCTCAACTATGTGTGCATTATGCAAACAGATCTCTTTCTTTTCTAGTGGGTGGGACTGAAGCAATGCAACTTCATATTTCCGTGGTCTCCCCTGATTTGTTATGGAATAAGATGGTCCCTGCTGTTTCTGAGTTTTACCGTGTTTGTTTCAAGTTGGTTGTTTTTCAAATTTTGCTATTTGTGAGGAAGAAAGAAATACTAGCTAGCATTGCAAGGGGGGTACAATAACTGATCCAGTATGATAGCGAGCCAAAACATGATATGTCATAATTTGAGATTGTTAAACATCGCTCAATGTTGATTTATGCATGGGTTTTGCAATGTCAATCGGTGTGTTGTGATCTGGTAACGAGAGAATTTTATATGCGCTTTTGAAATGTTAGCCACTGAAACAAATTACAGCTGACCGTCACATTTAAGGGCTTCGACCTCCAAGGGATTGCAAGCAAAAGGAAGAGAGGAGAGCATGGGAGTAAGAAATTATATACTCACTTTTAATTGTAGTCTTATGATTAGTTAATTAAATTTTCTTTTCTTTTTTTTTAAGAAATATATATTTTCTTTCCATACCATTAAATATTTTTAAAGAAAAATGACAGAATTAGATAATTTATTAAAGGAAACAAGAATAAAATAATTTGGTTATTTTTTTGCCTGGTTTCTCTGTCCAATAAAAAAAACCCTTCCCCATCACTAAAATGGTCATTAAATAAAGATTGCTTGAAAAATATTGATTATAATCAAAACTCAAATTTCAATATTGATCCATGTTTTATATTCAGCTTAATAAAATATTTTGAATTTGATGAACAACTAATTTATAATTAGGATACTACTATTGGCTTCATAAATTTTTTAGAAATGTCTTGCAAAACAACTCTTAATATATTATTATATATCCATCTAAATATTCTCAGTTTTTTTTTTTGGTAAATTAAATGTTCAAAGTGTTGATCCTGTAAAAGCATGCCAAAATATGTATAATATCATAGCAAATCCTAAGTTTTTTCAAGGTCCTTAATTTATAGTATTCTAATGGAGAATTATGTTCTCTATTTATTTAAAATCATTTAGGGTGTGTTTGGATAGTATTAGTTAGAAGAGAAAAGAAAAGAAAAGAAATGATAGTTTAGTGAGAAAAGAAAAGAAAAGAGAAGAAAGGATAGTAATAATTTCTATTTGTGTTTGGATAGACCGGGGAGAAAAGAAAAGAAAGGATAGTTATTCTTATTTGGATAAGATAGAGGAGAGAAAAGAAAAGAAAGGATAATAGACAAATTATTTTTTTATCCTTTCATAATCACGGGACTTGAATAGAATAATAAATCTGTGTATTGATTTGTGGAGGCTAATTTTGGTATTATCAAAATACCACTAAAATCACTATCCTTTCTCTCCCTATCTCTCCCTATTTTCTCAAAATTGAGGAGAAAGCAAATGAAAGATAAGGAGGGATAGCTATCCCTTCCTATCTCTCTTTATCCCTCCCTATCCCTCCACTTAACTTACCCAAACACACACTACACTATCCTCTCTTTTCTTTTCTCTCCCTATCCCTCCAAATCAACCCTACCAAACACACCCTTAGTATATGTTTTCATATTTTATCAATAGAATTGATAAAGTGTGAAACTAAATAAAAATGATGATTTTTTATTTTAGATTAATTTTACTTCGTCTAAGTGGCTGCTTGCAAATTTGACAAAAAGTAACCAAATTATTTTATTCTTGTTTCCTTTAATAAATTGTCTAATTCTGTTAATTTTCTTTAACAATATTTAATAGTATGGAAAGAAAATGTAAGTTTCTTAAAATAAAGAAAATAAAAGTTAATTAACTAATTGCCACATGATTAGATCCTAAGAATACAGTTAAAGGTGAATATATAATTGTATTCTTTGAAGAATGCCTTTCAATGGAATGAATTTAAATGAAAAAAGTTGTTTGGGGATGCACTTTTTGAAATTCCTTTAATAATTGATAGTGTTTTAACTAGACACTTTTATCCTTTGTAACTATGAAAAATTAAAGAAAACGATGAGAGCACTTGTGTGCGTTAATTCACAGATGAGAGCACTTGTGTGCGTTAATTCACAGAGACAGATCTGAGAGAGAAAAATAAATAAAGAGAAAGACTAGGGTTCCAAATGTAATCATAGAGACAGATCCAAACGTAGATCTTGAGAACTAAAAACATAAGGTTATAGTATTAGATACTTTTATTTTCACGACAAAGAGAAACAACAATCTCATTAGCAATAATTGTCATTGTTGAGAATAAAAAACTCATTAAAATTCTAATTGTACGCAGACATGAGAGATAACAGGATGTGATAGTATTCTACTCTATTAACCCAAGTTCTCAACACTTCTGTTTCAAGAAATCTCTTTAAGAGTCCAACAATAATACATTAATTTCTATGCAAGAGAAACTTGACATCCAATAACAGGCAAATCGCATATGATGATAATTTTCTACAATTTTTCTAGCACTGAATTTTTAAAAAGAACAAAGAGAGAGAATGGTGTACATAAGGATAAGATGCTATTGTTATTGAGAAAAATTGGAGACCAAGATTTGGGATCGTAGAGGTAGAGGAAGACAGACTTGTAATTAATAACACATTTAAGGCTAATAGGGATAACTTATAGGGTCAAATTTGTAAAAAGATATATTAATTACTTAAAACGTGATTTTGCTCCCGAAAGGCCCTCTGAAAAGTAAGTTTTTGTAACTTCGGTTGAATGGGCTTTTAGACCACTACACTTCTTTTGTAAGCTTGTTTAAGAAATTTGTCAAACACACAAATTTTTGGGAATGACTTTTTGGGCTTGGAAGCCTGTTTTGGAGCCCCAGAAGCCATGCCAAACAAGGCCATAATTTGTTACTTCCAGGAGCAGTTGAACACTATTGTTATTACCTATATATTTAGAGATTTATTCGTGATAAATAATGTATAGGACCTAAATGAATTATGATAGAGTTAGGGCAAAACGTGATATTGTAATGGAATTTAGGGCAGATAAACATAATAATATTAATTAAAAATTCTTCAGGGACTATTTAAAGATCGAAATATTAGAAATCTAGGGCTCTTTTTCCTTGCGAGTAGAGTTGCAACGGCCGCCATGGTTCTCAAGTACGTTCTTTACCTTTCTTCTCTCGATTTTTTTCCCTAACTTCTTACATGATTCTCTCTCTATTTGTTTGCATTATAGTTCTTATTTTTTGGGATTTTTAAAATCATGATCCTGAATGAATCATCTGTTTGATTGCTGAGAAAATGGATTATTGCAGAATGAAAATTTTCATATCATTATGGTTCTTCTCGTTTTGGTTTCTGAATCTTAATGTAGAATTAAAGGCTCAAGATTTAGATTTATTTTCATTAAACATTTTCTTAGCAAAACGATATTGTATTGGGTATTGGGTATTGTCTTCTCATTTATAAATTCTCTAATCTGTATATGATGGTACATTTGATTTGATTAGACCTAGCCATGTAGGTGACTTCTCGTAGTAGCTGTGTGTGTTCCGTCGATTTCTGACCTTTTTTGTTCGTATTGAACCTTAGAGATAATATATATATGTGTATGTGTATGTATACGTACATGTGTTTTTTTATTTTGGGGTTCTTAAAAGTTGGATAGCTCAGCGGGGATAACGTATAGAATTTTCTTTTTGTTCTTATTCTATATACAATAGCCTCGGACTAATGTTGGATTGCTGTTTTCTATAATGTAATTTGGTTCCTCTTTTTGTGATCAAACTATTTTGCTAATGGATTTTATACTTCCTTAAAACAGGGGACCATTCAGTTCATAATGGAGTATCTAGAAACAATTCCCTCTCGAACTTTAACATGGTCATTAGAAATGTTCATAATAGTTTTAAAATGTCAATGTTGTGTTTGGGTTTGGGAGCACCGAATGGACGCTTTGGATTTGGAATTGGAGTTAACAAAATTTGCTCCAATTTCAAATCCAAGCTGCCAATTCGGTGCTCCCAAACATAGCATAAATGTAATTTTCTCATTTGGAATTCACTTGAATAGTTTTTGCGAGATATAACATTTTTAGCTTTGATCAGGCAAGTTGTAATCATTTCTGTAATGGAAAATGATTCTTAGACCAATTTCTCAAACTGATGTGGATAGCCGAAGGGGTTGTTATACCTTTGATGCAATGCATGGGACCCACACTTGAGTTTACCCACTGCATGCAAGAGATAGCTATTTGGATTTTTCTCCGTCAGATTCATGCGAGAAAGCTGATGACAATATCCCTCCTCAATTTTCTTCTTACAGAAATAAATTGGCATTTTTTTTTCTATAATTTCTTCAGGGAAGTTGTTTTCATTGTTTTGAGGATTTCTAATTATAGTTACTGCAACAAATTGATGATATTTCCTGTTATTGTTTATCTGTTCTCTTAAAAAAGATCCTGGAACTTTTGATGGTCACGTATGATATAACTTTATATGCATGATTGGCTGAAATCACCTCATGTTTAAGCTTGTTTTAAATAAATTATTCACGAGATCAATGAGACTTGCTGTTTTTTGAATATATTGTATTTGTTGTTCATGTTGGCAATTTTAGGACTGAACTCTGTCGCTTCAGTGGGGCCAAGATATACCCAGGCAAGGGTATCAGATTTGTTCGTTCTGACTCTCAGGTAAAATCCAGTAATTATCTCAGAGTTATTTTTATTTGAATTACACTATATCATCTACTACTTGCCTATATTCCTATTTACAATTTTCCATTTATTAATGAAATAACTTCTTGTTCAATTAAGGTCTTCCTCTTCGCCAATTCAAAATGCAAGAGGTACTTCCATAACCGACTTAAACCCTCAAAGCTCACCTGGACAGCCATGTACAGGAAGCAGCATAAGAAGGTGATTAAAATTCTAAATGCATATGTACTTCTTCTGACGTGATATTGAGAATGAGTTGTTTATCGGTGGAATCTGATCTGTTCTTTTACTCTTCAAACCCTTGCAGGATATTGCTCAAGAAGCTGTTAAGAAGAGGCGTCGCGCGACTAAGAAACCTTATTCAAGGTCTATTGTAGGTGCTACTTTGGAGGTTATACAGAAGAAGAGAACAGAAAAACCTGAAGTTCGGGATGCTGCTCGGGAGGCGGCTCTGCGGTATATATATATATATATATATATAATCATAAAAAATGTAGAAGTCATTAGTAATCATTGTTTGTCGCTGAATTTATTTTTATTATCCTCTTTATCTACAGTGAAATCAAAGAGAGAATCAAGAAAACCAAGGATGAAAAGAAAGCCAAGAAGGCAGAGGTAACGGCGAAGACACAAAAGACCCAAGGCAAGGGTAGCAGCATGCCCAAGGGTGGGAAGGGCCCCAAGCTTGGAGGGGGTGGTGGCAAGCGTTGAAATTAGCTTCTTTGTTTTCTTATTGGGTATTATAAAGTTTTGAAGGCTTGATATCTTGATAAGGTGGTTCTAGCCGAACTCATTGTTGAATACTTTTTTATTGCCTTTTTATTATGCATGGTTGACTGATTTTTTATTATTTATTTATTTATTATTAATTTTTTTTTTACATGTACTCCTCTTTAAGTAGTTCTAATTTGTGGTTGAAATTGGGGATGAGGAGCTGATGTAACAATCATGCAGATCGTATTACATTTTTAAATGGATTCTGGTTTGTGGTACCAAAATTTCTCTTTTTTTTGTTGTTGTTTCTTATACATGTGTTACCAATAAAATATATTGTGAGCATTTGGGATAGAGTAAGCACTCAACACCTTTTGAAGAGTAATTTGATGGTTATTCATATGTTGGGACTTTGTTGAACAGGTAACAGTTTCTCATTAGTTTGACATCATTTTTGATGGATTGTCCAGCAGAAGTACCTTTTATTTATTTATTTATTTATTTTTCTTGGTTTATTAACATTTCTGACTAAGGTTATGATATGTTGAAAATTACAAACCATATAGCCTGGTAATATTTCTTCTCTTCTCTCTTCAAACCTCAAAATGAGGAGGGTTAAAAAATCTATCCCAAAATCATTGTGGGAGCATTTTTTCTTCAAATGCATGTGTAACTTGATGTGAAAATTATGGGGTCTAAGTAACAAAATTTTGTGTAACTTGATGTGAAAATTATGGGGTCTAAGTAACAAAATTTTCAAGGTGAAGGAAAGTAATGAGATATCTTTGGAATAGTAGAATTTTTTTGTTTGGTTGGAAGAAAAGGGATGCGGATTGAGAGTTGTTTATACTCATTCATGTAAGATTTTAGTATGGTTTAAAATGTGATTTTTTAAAGGGAAAACAACCATCTATCTATTTTAAAAGTTAAATTTTCATTTTGATTGAATTAAGAACTATTTTTAAGATCCAAAATGCCCCCTAATATTAAAATATATTTTTAAAAATTATATAATTTTATACTATTAAAATAGATAATTGAAAACTAGTTTGACTATCATTTAATCACTTACCATGTTAAGATTTTTGTTCAAAAAATAATGACAGCTCATCTTTTTACTTCTATGGAGGAGATAAAATTCAAAGATTTGTTTTCCAGTTGCTCTCATAATCTCATTATAACCATCCATATATATATATATATAAATTTATATTCCAACTTAGAAAAGTTCTTGTCCAGTGGAAAAGATGAAAACTTTTGTAAAAGCATGCCATTTTCCTAAAGGTTAAGTGCAGAAACCCCCTATAATATAAGTTTTGTGCACAAATAGTCCATCTTTTTAAAAAATGTACATTTCATCCATAAAAATTTTAAAAGGTGCAAATAAGCCCATATGACAACTTTTTGCTCAAAATTGACATAAAATAAATTTAAAAATCCCATTCTGCCTTTTTTTATCGGTTGGGTTTCACCCGCCTAACAACAACGGGTCTCTCCAATTTTTTTATTTTTTTAATATTACATAAATTTTTGTACACATGTATTTTTTTCTATTGGCCACCAAACCAATCAGGATCGAAAGACGTGTCCTTATCTAAAATGGTAATTTTACCTTCTTTTATTTTTTTAATATTATTTCATTTTACTGGTAATAGGGTATTATAGTCTTTTTATGTAGACGGGTATTTGCATCAAATTAAAAGTAGAGAGGTGTTTTATACCATGCCGGGACTTGCTTGCACCATATTGATAGTACAAGAGGTTGGTATTGCAGATTTTTTTTCAAGTTTAAATTTAATTTTAAATAATTTCTTTTTATCTCACAAGTATTTACCATATTATATAAATGGCATTCTTGATCATGCCTTATCTTAGATTCCATCTCTTTAACTTATAACTTATATTTATAGTAATTAATACATTTTATTTCCGCTTTAATAAATGTCAAACTTTTGGTCGTAATTAACACCGGTTAGTAAATGATTCCATATTTGGATATAAATTTAGCATAATATCAGCTATTAATATTGAGCAAGGTTTACATAGTTTTCTTTTCTTTCTTTCTTTTTTTTTTTTTTATTATTTTGGAATTATATGGTTATAAGAAGATTATTTTGGTATTTTTCAGTTTGAAGGATATTTTGAGTCTTAATAATAATTCTTGATATATTTGTAATTATTTTATTTGATTCAATTAAATTGAAAAATAAACTACTTTGTTATTTAGGACACTTAATTCTATTTATGTGTAATTTTTTTTCTTTTTTAAATAATAATTAAAAGTCAAATTTAATATTACATAGGGTAACGTTGCTTTCATTCCCATAAAGAAAAAATATCTTTTTAAAAAAATAGTTCCCTTCCATTCAATTTTTATTTTTATTTTTATTTTTAGCTTTTGATAATTCTTCCTTTAAATTGAAACATACGCGGAAAGAGGACAGAGGAAACATTGACAGCTACAATTCAACCGCCATTTTATGCACATAGTAAGCAACTTTCGAAATATTTCTTAATTTGTACGTATTACTGTTTTAGAGATCTTTACAACACAAAAATTAAACCCGATTTGTTTGTTGGAACCGGTTTTAATTTGACCCGGTGAAATTCCACCTGACCCGTCGATTCACGTTACCCCGCGGATTGAAAACTGCCGATACCAGAACCACCGTTCAGCTATCATCCAGTGTTACCGCCCCCATATACCATCGCATCAAACAAACTAATAGCGTGTTGCCACGTTATCAAATTGTAACGAAACGGGTTCATAGAACCAATTAATTTGCGACGTGTCGAGCAAACACTGAAAAATAGTTGGTGGTAGCTTGAGCAGCGAAACCTAACTCATTGGGTGTTGATGCAAAAGGAACCAACTGCTCTGTTTCTCTCTCTAAACGCGTTCCGTTCCACGTTTCTCTCTCATCACCCCTCCCATCTTCTTCACCACTTAAACCCTTCACTAACTCCACTCATTAATCTTCTCAACCCTTCTTTTACAAACCTTTGTTTAGAGAGAGAGACATCGATAGATATATATATATATATATATAGAGAGAGAGAGAGAGAGAAAAAAAAGAAGAAGGTAAAACATGCCGGTGGATGATTTGGAGAGCAGGGGAGCGAAAAACAGAGGGCACAATGACCCATCCTCGCACGCGGTCGAGGAAAGAGAGACCCAATGGGTTCCTTGGTTGATTCCTGTGTTTGTGGTGGCCAACGTTTCTATGTTTCTTCTTGTCATGTACGTCAACAATTGTCCCAAAAAGAACCTGGGCACCGAAGGCAAGTGTGTGGCAAGGTTTCTGGGAAGATTTTCGTTTCAACCCTTGAAAGACAATCCTCTTTTTGGTCCTTCTTCGTCGACGTAATGGTTTTTTCTTTTATACCCATATCTTAATTTTCTCCATTTGTTGTGATTTGGGATCGTTCTGATTCGAAAAGTGGGTTTATGTGTGTGAGCGCATGTATGTGTGAGCTCTTGACTGAATATTCTTATTTCGGCTGAATATTTACTTGATTGATTGATTTTTTTATGCCATTTTTCAATCTCCCTTCTGTGTTTGCTGTTTTGAATTTTTATTATTTTGATTTGTGAATGTTCTGGAATGAAATCTAGGTCTTAGTCTGTGAATGTGATTCGTTTACTTTTCAATTGGTGGTTGGTTGGTGGGAGGTGGAAATTTGGTTGATTTCTCTTTTCAGCTTAATGTTGCTCTTTTCTAGTTTCAATTCTTTTGGTATGTATAAATACAGAATCTGTTTGCTTATTTTTTTGGAGCTTGGACTGATAAGTGTATTTGACCAAAAATTTTCTTAAGATGATCAATTACTTATTCATTTGTGTGGTGGTTCTTCTATTATACCAATTTCTTCAGCTTTAGTTATTTTGTTGCTTCCTGGGATAATATTATTGGGTTTGGTTTCTCTGGCTTGTTAGGGTTTCTGGTATGTAACTCCTAAAAGATTTCTGATTTGATTTGATGCTCTGGTTTATGGGAATTTTTTGTTTAGGTTTCTTTTGTTCTTATTATTATTTTGAATTCAAACTATGAAATTTTTTCTTAATTTTGTCAATTATTATTGATTGATGTACCTCTTCTATTATAATATTTTCTTCAGTTTTAGGTATTTTGTTGCTTTATTGGAGAATATTATTGGTTTTGGTTTCTCTGGCTTGAAGGGATTCTGTTATGTAACTCCGAAAGGATTTCTGATTTGATTTGATGTTGTGGTTTACCTAATTTTTTTATATAGGTTTCTTTTGTACTTTTTGTTGATTTTGAATCCAAACTGTGAAAATTTTCTTAATCTGGTCAATTATTATTCATTGATGTAGTAGCTCTTCTCTTATACTATTTTCTTTAGTTTTAGGTATTTTGTTGTTTTCTTGGAGAATATTATTGGTTGGTTTCTCTGGCATTAAGATTTGTGATTTGTAATTACTAAAAGCTTTCTGATTTGATTTAATGTTGAGGTTTATGGGAATTTTTTTATTTAGGTTTCTTTTAGTACTATTAGTTGATTTTGAACTCAAACTATAAGGTCTATAGAGATATTTGTTCCTTGTTCTTCTTCTTTTTTTCTTTTTCTTTTTTTTCCCCCTTACTTTACATGGGATTGAATACACAGACTGCTAACAAATAGACTCAGATGCTTTTTTCATGCTCAAGGGCCTGTAAATTATGAATTAAACAATCATCTTCCACGAAGTCTGCAGGGAATCCGAATGGATACTTAGTTCTACATAGTTTGTTGAGTCGCAACTTCTTTGATCAATATTGATGACAATGCAACAGCAGCAAAATTACGTTTTTTCATTGAAATGGGAAAAAAAGTAGATTTTTAATGTTTGTATATTCCTTTTCATTATGAATTTGATTTTGTGTCTTGCAACAAAAGAATGTTTGATGATCTTTTATAATATTGCAGATAGGAGATGTTTGCACACTTCTGTCAACAAATTCTGCAGAAATTTATTGTTTTGTATTTTATCTTACTGAATTGTCTGTGATATATTATGCTGCTATAGATGGGGACTTCTGTATCTGTATTTCTATGCAATTGAGAAAAACTTGTAATAGTTGATTTTTTATATACTGAGCGACTGGGCCATCTTATCATCACAATCTGTTTATTTTGTTGCGCCATAAGTCATTTAAATTGCCATGTCATTGATTTTTCTTGTATACTTCAATTTTTTTGGTGTATTGTTTCTTTTCTTATATTACTGTGATCTAGTTCTCATTATTTCTCTTGGTCCAACATAAAGAAAGAAAAGGATCAAGAGAAGATGAGGATAGTTTAATTAAATTCTTTTCCCCCCTATTTTTTTAGATTACAGAAGTTGGGAGCTCTTGAGTGGACCAAAGTGGTGGATAAACATCAAGGATGGAGGCTTATCAGTTGTATCTGGCTACATGCTGGTGTTATTCATCTGGTTGCAAACATGTTGAGCCTTGTTTTCATTGGCATTCGCCTTGAACAGCAGTTTGGCTTTGGTATGTTGTGCTCTTTAACATTTTTGAGATATTGTCAGAACCTTTTTCTCGAAACTTTTAATGTCGACTTCCCTTTACAGTTCCATACTCATTTAAATATTAGTTTATCATATTTGCAATCTTTATATCATTGTTATGTGAGAAGAATTCTCCTAGTTTGTCTTCTCCTATAATATTGGACATGGAGAAATGTAGGACACCACTGCCCCATATCTATGACTATGTTGGACATTTCATAATCGGGCCATATAGTTCCAATTGATTTTTTCTCCATTTTATATTTAGATCAATTTAACAATAACTATAATGGAACCTGACCGTTTGTTTTTGGATGCATAATTTGGCAGCGCGTATTGGAATTATCTACTTGTTATCCGGATTTGGTGGGAGCATACTTTCCTCCCTATTTATTCAAAAGAGCATCTCAGTTGGTGCTTCCGGTGCTCTTTTTGGACTTCTTGGAGCAATGCTTTCAGAACTTATCACGAATTGGACAATCTATACCAACAAGGTGATTGTTGCAGTCAAATGCTATGGATTTTGCATTTCATAGAATGCTGATTATATTTCCTTTAGCAATTGTAGTTAGTTTGAAGTTCTAATGTTATTTTCTGATCACAATCTATATTGGTGCATTTGATTTACGACTAGTGAGGAGTTATATACTTTGCTAATTCTCTCTTTTGTTGTTCTTAGGCTGCAGCACTGTTAACACTTCTGGTCATTGTTGTCATTAACCTAGCTGTTGGAATTCTGCCACATGTTGATAATTTTGCCCACATTGGTGGATTCTTGACTGGGTTTCTCCTTGGTTTTGTTTTGATGGCCCGTCCCCAGTATGGGTGGATAGAGCATCGGAATCTTCCAGCTGATTCTCAGAGTAAAAAAAAATACAAGACTTACCAGTATGTGTTGTGGTTGGTTTCTCTGATTCTGCTGATTGCAGGGTGAGTAAACTTATTCAAACTTCCAAAAAGAATCTATCATTGACTATCAATGCAATTTTTATGTAAAATGCAAACTAAACTTGTTTCAACTGCTAAATTTGTGATGCACTTGGAAACTAAACCGGGTTGAATCTCATACAATAGGCCCTTTTTCTGTGCAAAATCGGTTGTTCCATCCGCGTCAGCATAGGATTCCGATTATACATGGAACATGGAAATTGGCCCCTTATTCTGTTTTCCTAAGCACTTTGTTACTTATTTGCTTTAGAAGTGTTTTTAGTCATTTTAGGAGAAGTTTCTATGTCAGTATGAGCTTATTTAAGACACTACTTTTTTTGACAATTCTAATGAAATGAAAATAGGTTTTATGGTGATTAATGTGAATGTTTGTGAAAGCTATTATAATGAGCAAGCGCTAACTTTATGTTGTTCTATGTGTAACAAAAATGCAGGTTTGCGGTAGGATTAGTGATGCTGTTTCGAGGAGAGAATGCAAATGATCATTGCCACTGGTGTCACTACCTGAGCTGTGTTCGGACGTCAAAATGGAAGTGTGATGGAACTTGACACTTTTAAGATGGGCATGTCTTTATAAGCTTACTTATTTTTGCACAGATAAATGCTTAGGGCCTGTTTGGCATTCGATATGTTTTAGGCGTTATGTTTTTGATCAATTTTAAAACAACTGTTTTGTTATAGGAGTGTTTTGGGTAGAACCAAATTTGAAGACCAATATAAAACAAACAATATCATAACACATTCCAAATAAACCCTTAGCTTAGAAACAGTTTGGTTTCTTCACTTTGTGATTTGTTCTTCGGGAGTTCTCAGTGTTTGTGTAATTTATTTTTAAATTTGATATTTTGTACATATCAAATAGAAAGGCATTCTGCTGATCAATCATTTTTTTTTGCCTCTGCCTCTGCTTTGGGTCACAAGGGTTAAGTGATGTTTGCGGTTTGATGATGCTTTATTCGGTGATTTATTCAGTAAATCAGCATTACAGAATAGAGTTGTCCCAAATGCACACTAACCCTACTTCACTGGACATTATAACATTTCCATGTTCCACCCAGGAAAGAAACACACACACACACACACACACACAAACTCGTGAGGAACTAGTATAAGGTGCACCACTGTGACAAGGACTTCATGGGAACACCTTTTTACTTCATTCCCTTTGCAGCTGCATTATCTCTTCAGCTAACACTGTGAAATAAATCCCTTTTATTTACTTTTATTCTATACATATACGCCTACGAATACATTTACATATGAGCTTGTACAGAGTTGTAGTCTAGTGATATTTCTTCTTTTCTCAAAGTAGAAAGTGAGGTTGAAGTGAGTGGAATTGTGACTCCTTGTATACAATTGGAGGGAAGAGCACGGAGCATTCACCATTATCAAAGAAAATTTGATTCATGATTGACAATCCATGAGAATTTGTCAAGCTATCACTATTTTGGGATATTAGTGGCGAATTTAGGTCACTTAGCTTAATTGACAAGACATAAAGCTCTTATGCTTCCTTTGTTATATTGGTAGGAGCCAAATTTTGAGATGAAAAGGAAAGAAAAGACGTGATTTTCATTTATTCAATCATTCGATTCTCAGAATTTTGCTCTTTCTACTTCATTCTCATTAACAGGTCTCATCATATCAACCTTTATACTCTAATAATTCATTGATCTTGTATGGGTATCCGAAGTTGTAAGTGTTTGATGTGGATGACGTAAATCATTCAGCGCAATGGTGCTTTGCCATTTTTCCCTTCACATATTTGGAGAAATAATTTCGGAAATTTGTATTGAATGGTTTGCTTTATGTAATGACATAAAGTTATAAAGTTATAGTACCATTTAGTCAAACTAATGATGGGACAAAAGTTAAATTTCCCATTAAAAGCCAACTCGTCCCCGTGAATGCACAGTGAGAGTTTAGTTTCAGGGTTAAAATTTGCTTCTCAATTATTTGTATAGAATGTATTTAAATCCCATCAATGATATTATATTTTAATTCAAAAAAAAAAAAAAAAAAAAAAACCAAATTTTTTAGTGTCAACAGTATTGTGACTATTCAGGTGAGTGTAGTATTGCCGCCCAAAGTAAAATATCATATTTTCACCGTCATACACCCCTTGTGGGACTGCGACTAAATTAATATAACATGTATTTTCACTGTCACAGACCCGTCATGGGACTGCAACTAGGTGAATGTAACATTACTGCTCAGAGTAAAATCTCATATTTTCACCGTCACAGATTTCTCATGGGATTGCGACTAGGTGAATATAGGAGTAAAATCTCATACTTTGACTATCACAGTGTTGTTGTGATTACTCACAATCCCTCATGGGACCTGTGTGACTAGGTGAATATAACAGTGAGTAAAATCTCATATTTTCAACGGGACAGTGTTTTGCGAATCTCGCATCTATATAGACTATGAATATAGCATTGCTCGGAGTAAAATCTCATATTTTCACTTTCACTGTCACAGTGTTGCTGACTACTCACAGCCCCTCATGGGGCCTGCGACTAAGTGGAACACTTGGTGCTATGAGTAAAAAATCTCATTCTTCCGCATCACAGTGTTGAACTGTTCACAGTCCTTTCATGGGACCTGCGACTTGGTTAACATAGTAGTGCTGCAAGTGAAAAGTCATTTATTAACCAAAGCACCCCCAAAGAACTCAATTTGCTTGCACAATTAAAGGATGAATTAGGGCCAGTCAATTCCTCATCATCTTAGGGCCAGTCAAGTTAATTTGTAAAATTGTGCTGCACAGTTCATATATAGTGCTTGCGTTGCTCAATGCAGTAAATTAACTGCATAATGCAGAATATGTAGCCTGCATAATGCAGAATATGTAGCAACGCAGACGACATAATTAAGACCTGAATTCATCGAATCTTAGAGGCTTAATCTTTGTATCATATTTTACCGAGCAACAAAAAAATGTAAAAGTTGCCAACACAAAGCTTCAGATACATTGTCACAATCTTCCACTTTTCACCTTTGTGCATTGTCGCACACGGATGACATTCTACAAAGCAACATTTGATCATACTTATATTACATATAGAATACATCACAAACTAACCTACACAGGAAGATAAGACAACCAGTGACTGCAGGTGGTGTTGATGATGGAAAGTTAGATCTCATTGGAACTATGGTAGGAAATAGACAACCACAGCTCTAGAATCTGCTGCCATAAACAGATTTCAAACTCGCAGCGTCACTTTGAACTGGCATCTGAAGTCTATCCAAATTGCTGGAGCCTGGATAAGCTCCGGTCCGGAAGTTAGCATGCAAATCCACACCCCTCTCTGGATGGGCGTCTGCATCCCAATAGCTACGAACAAACCTATTCACTGAACCAGGTTTCTCTAACTGCATCCTTTGCCTGGGGGCACTTTGGGACCTGAACTTAGCCCGAGAAGATTCTGTGTTAGCCATGTAATTTGGATGACTAGAGTAACCGTTAAAAAATCCTTGTGAGCATTCACTCCTCGCAGGTGTGAAGGGACCTCTTCTAGCACTACTTCCGGGCCTAGACAATGCAGAATACACTCGTGGGCTGTTCATGGCAGTCCATGCAGCAGCAGCTTCTGCTTCCGTAGGGAAATTTAGGGACCTTAAAGATGGGATTTCCGTGGAAGATAAACGTGGATTCGGTTCCTTAGATTGTACACTGTGTCTTGATAAAGAGTCCAGCGTTGTGAAGGCCTGATCATTGTAATTCCAAGCTGAAACATGTTTCGATGTCTGAAAGGAACTCTTACTTCGTTGGGGTTTCAAGAGGGGGTTCCAAGTATCTACTTCAAGGATCTTGTCACTGTTCTCATCATTGACAACCTTAGTATTAAGCGAGGTGTCTTTATGACTATCCCACGGACATTCTTCCATCCAATGGTCTAACCAACTGGACTTCAGATGCGTTTTTTCCAGGTAGACAATGTCCTTGATGTTTGATGTTGAACTACATCTCTGCATCAATTTGTTAGGAACTGCTTTACTAATTTGAGATAGCATGGTAAAAAAATCTACGAATTTTTCTAAGCTGACATACAATTTTCAAGATCATGATCAAACTCTCAATTTATTAACTCAATTTTAAAATGTAAAGCAACACAATAGGATTGTTACAAAAGATTCAACAGGAGAATAAGAAAGTACCTTTAGGATTGAAGGCCCGTCTAAATTGGTACTATATGCACGAAATTGGTGGTCGTTTTTCTTGGTATTCTTCAGGCCCTGCATGGTGATAAAATAACAGATACTTCCAGTTACCCATCCACAGATATATTCGATTCTCAATTACAAAAAAGAAAAATGAAAAATACAATTTTCTAAGCCACCACGACAAGGTAAATGAACTTGTTATAATAAGAAAAGTTTTAAAGCTGCCATAAAAGAACTAAAAGTGAGCTGAGGAGTGAAAAAGCTATTTTACATACTTGGTGGTGGGGTTGGGAGAACTTGCTATTAGAATATGAGGACTCTGACATGTAAGCGCGATTCGAACAGACTCGGGCCTGGATTCGGGCCATTGCTTGCATGCGTCGGAGCATATCTGCACTCTGCCTTCTCACAATGTGACCTCTCACTAATGCCTGAAGCTTCACCAAACTCTTAAGTGCCCTCAATGCCCTCCTAGCCTTCGAGATGACCCCCAACATATAAATGTTAGTGATACATGCACGATAATCAAGATCAGGGGCCCTTTTCATACACTAACTCATTGTTTTTGCAATCAAAATTAGCAGCAGATGGAATAAATCATTAATTCTCCCTTTAAATAATAAAACCAGAATTGAATCTTTGACCTAGTTGGTCACTTATAGTAATATACCAAAGTGCCAATTATAAAGGAAGGTACAAGGAAGAGTGACAAAATGAAACATAAGTGTTGTCTATACATGCTTCTGAATTATAATCCAATAAAATAAAAGGTATCCTTGTCTCCTTATCTTTGATTTTGTTGCACACATTGTCAATTTGTTTTGTTCCAAGTGATAATGAATGCAACATATTTGATCCAAAGATGCAACAAAAGAAGTAGAGAAAATACCAAATTTGGTATCACGATACATTAAGTCCAGCAATAACTAAGTAGGTACACGAGTATGTGATTATGAAGGCGTGATTTGAATGTTACTCAAATTTAGCATGTTTATTAAATTTATAATCAGAATGTAGGAATAGATATGATGTGCAAATCAAATAGAAAGAATTGGTTGGTCTAGATCAAACTGGCGTAGTAGCGTTGCCGAGTTGGTATAAGGCCATGGAATTATATGAAGCTCCCAAATTCAACTCCTGCCATGAACTGGATCATGTACAAAGGGAGGGACAGAAAAAGAATAAAAATATATATATTTTTTCTTTTTCTATCATGAGCTTATATGAAACATTTCTTTTAATAAATGTAGTATTGTAGTACTGATTTGAAATGAAGCCAAGTAGTTAGACCAAAGAAAGGGATTGGTCCATGATTCAAGCTGTGATTCATGGTGATAAATGGGAGGTAGGTGAAGAAGTCTTTTAGCCAAGACTTTGAAAATTGGCAATGCTCTTGAGATGACCATTCACAATTAGTAAGTATGTAAAATGACAAATTTGACCCTTCACAAGTAGTTTTCAACATCGTTGAAAAACCGGGTGTGACCATGTGGACTTCTTGTCCCAACTTTGTACAAACAATTAGTACCCATGCACTTATAACATTACATAAATTCAAAAAAAATGGTGAGACTGAAGAGACTGAAGAAGAAGAGGTTGAATCTGGTCCAAGAAATTTTTTGCCTCATGTGACACGTGCTATCTAGATAAACATGCAATTTTCTCGTAGGAGATTTTTATCCCCTGGTTGCACGGGGAGTGTGACAATACACACATATAAAGTGATCCATCTCATCTAACGAATGTTTCCTCCATACTAATTAAATCGGCCCTTTCTGAAAATCTAACCTTTTAAAAAAATGAGTTTTAGTATTTTTTTTATTTATTATATTGGTAGTGAGGGAATTACCAAAATATCTATAGTGATTTACTTTTTATAAGTTGTTAAATTAGTAATTTTACAAAAAAATACTATAATACATTAGATATTTATTTTCGGACAACCAAAAATGAAAAGATGGACATTTTGTTTTGGGACTGATAGAGTAAGTTTGAAAATTTCAATGACTCCTGAAAGGATGTTATTTTGACGCGGAACATATGTTTTATCGATTTTGAAGTCAAAATTACTTGTAAGCTGACATGAAAACCATGTAATATGGTCCTTTCAACTCAATTTATCCAATCTAGATATCATTTGTGACAATTTATCCCTGGGATGAGTTTGAAAAGCTATTATCACTTATTATCACTCACCAGTTGCTATTAATACCTATGCTTAGTTCATCGAGTGGGTTTCATCACATACATAATCAACTAAAGGAGCGTGAAAAACACGCTTCAATCAAGTGGACCCAAGACATTATTCAGACTATGTTGACTTGGTTTTGTGAGCAAATGAGTCAACGTGATCGAGAATTAGTGTTTCCCACGCGCACTAGTAGCAGTGGGCTTGTGATTTGCTCGCATTAAACTGTTAACGACTTTTTCGAGCCTAGTCCAACAAACGTACAAGCACCGCAGGAACACGATGGTGTGCAGCATAACAGGGAATTATTTCCCTCTGATTGCGAAGAGACACCCCCACTAGCCCCAGCGCACGTTAGTGCCAACCCAAAACTTCAACATCAAAGCTTTTCTAGAACAATAAAATGACAGAAAACAACAATCCGAAATTTGGAAACAAAAACTTGAATTTCATAGTCAACTATGTTCTGAAAAAACAAGAAAAACAAAGTCCCAGAATTTTATAAACTTGATTCATTTTTTTGAATAATGATATGGATAATCCAGCTGATCATAATACAATCAAATTAAAACACAATAATATTGGGCATATTTGGTTCATTTTTTATTTTAACCGAACTCAAAATCAGAAAACGTAGTCAGGGAAAAAAAAAAAACTGTTTTTACAAAATCTTTCAAAACAGTTATATATTTTTGAGCGTTAAAAAATTCACCTCAAATTGTGGACCAAAGTTGCAGTTTATCATATATATTTTTTAAGAAATATAAAAAAAATTGGACTAGATTATTATTATTTTTTCCATAGTAAAATCGAGTGAATTGAAGGCACGCACCATCAAGAGATCATCACGAGTTGCATGATAAGCCAAGGAGAGGCGTAATTATGAACAAAGCGGATGGGTAATTTGGGAACAACATGTTAGATGGTAAGTGACTACTAACCAGATAAGCTCGGAACGCCGACTGGATCTTCACAGCGGCCGATTCTCGCCACCTGTCACTCCCACTAAAATGAGCCGTGGCGGGTCTACTCCCACTGCTGGTTAACCTCACGACCTCTGCCGCCGCATGAGCCGCTGCGAGTGCAGCCTCGGCCACCGCCGCTGTTGCTGCGGCCACCGCTATCGCGTGCTTGTTTGCATCCACGACTTCGACGCACTTACCAGAAGAAGCAGCCACCGCAGAGGACCCTGTGGTCCCGCCAATGCTACGGTCATTGGCGTTGAATGATCTGACGACACCCCACCTCTTCTTCTCCTTTGATGGCCGGGAATCTGTCCCACTAGACACCGGCGAAGAATCTGACGTTTTTTTGGCACCCAAAAGTCCCCGGAACCATCTGGTTGTACTCTTCCACATCATTCACGGATGGCGAATCATCGGCGACAAATGCAAAGAATTTTCGTTAATGATATAATTGGGTTGGGGAGAGAGTCCGTGCAGTGAGAGTTAGACTATAGAGAAAGGGACACTGGGATTGCTTATATATATATAGTACACACGAATTTACATTTGGGATTTTATATTCAATTAACTTACTGCTTATTTACCCGAAAGTAAATTTTTTAACGTAGAAAAAGAAAAGTACAATTTTTAATATAAAAAATATCTTAATATAAGAAAGAGAAAAATATAAAAATAAAACTTATTAATAAGTTGAGTTAATATATATTTTGTTTGGGTGATTCTTTTTATTAAATTTTTCTACGATAAATGAGTGACCTCTTTCTCATAAATAAAAATTATAATTTACATAATTCACTTTAAAAAAAATTATAATTATATTTTAATTTGATATTTTCTAAGATTAAATTTTAAAAAGATACACAACAAACATATAGAGAAATTTTCTTGTTTTCTTTTCTTTTTGTTGCCAATTTGTTTAGTTTGCTATAAGAATAAAAGAATAAAGTGATGTTTTAAAATAGAGAAACATTAAAGTCTTTTTTTGTTAGTTATCGCCCCATCAGTTTTAAGATCACATCCCGAATTAAAAGTAAAGATGTGTAAGGCTATTTAAAATATAAAATAACTATTTGAATTGTATATTTTATTATTCTTATTCTTATTAATAAAATACACTAATCTCATATGAGATTTGGATAAATTACTCATGGGAATAGGTTTATTATTTTGACATTCCCTAAATTTCACTATCAGTGACTTTGAGTGTGAAACTCATTAATATTATTAAATTATAATAATATATTACATTACATTTTATAACGATCATTTTATAAAATCAGCAAATTTGTTAGAATAAAAGTGAGGAGGTCAATGGGATTTACCTTAATACAACTACCACATATATTTTCTTAGAACAATCAATCCCTTTAATTTTGTAAGACTAATTTATATATATATATATATATATATATATATATAAAAGCTTATAGTATGATTTATCTTGGAAAGGTATTTAAAATGTAAAAGGATAAATTTTGTTTTGAGATATTTGAAAAGTAAAGTAAAAAGACATTTGCTTTTGCTGGGGCGGGTATCACTTTAAACAAGAAATTGACTGTGTACCATTTAGATGAGAGAAGGCGGCAAAAAGCTTAATGAACCATGAGGAAATTGATTTCTGTTTAGAGAATTTCGTTGATGAGAAAAGAGTAAATCCATTTCAAATTTTGTAAAATATAGTTGAGGTTATTTACACTAGAATATTTGAAGGCCCTGGTAGGTCCAAAACCTGAACCCATCCGTGAGATCCAAGTCTTCCTGTTGATTGGGTTAAGCCTAACAGGCTAGGTATGGCCCATAAAAGAAAAGGCTTCATAATCTCATGTTTTAATGGGTTCCTATTCATCAACTATGTAAGTAAAAATTACCTTGGGTCCTCTTCATCTTATTGTTTTAGACTTAAGGCGATTGGATGTTCACATTGTATTGGGCTGGTTTTTCATTGTATTGGGCTAGTTTCTAGCTTTTTCATATATGTATATATATAATTGCTTAACCTTTCGGGTAAAAAAAAAAAAAACAAAACAATGTGTTAGCCCTTTGGGCTTTTCTTTTCTTCTCCTTTTGTCTAGTGGGCCTGCTAGTTCCTGCTTACTTGAGTAATTATTTTATGCTAGGTTTCAGCCAATCATCGTTTAACACTTATACAAAATGTTGAATAAACACGTTTGTTTAGATGGCAAATAGTGATTGGTCCGAGACTATACAAAATTTCTCGAGTACATATTTTTTTAATATTATCTGACTTTTTGAAAAGAAAAAAAAATGAATGAATAAATTAATTAACTCTGCAACTGTCCCAAAATGTTTATTTTTTTATTTTTTATTTTTTATTTTTATTTTCCTTCATATATTTAATATAGGAAAAAGAAGAAATATATTTCCATTCCACTTTTATTCAATTGTAACTCTAATAAATAAAATGGGTATGGGAAGTAGAGTATCAACTAGCCTCAAGGGAATATTCTAAAAAAGAAAAAAAAAAAAAAAAAATGAGATAATCAACTCAAAAATTTTGGTTCATTATAAGTATTTGACATTATGATTTACCTAATCTTATTTTCCAAAAATAATAAAAAAATCAAATTGCTCTCTTTCAAGGATCGAATAACGGAATATGTAATCAATTTTCACCAATTTTCAAAAATATAATTTTGTTTGACGATTGTGGTATTTTTTTTTTCATAAGCAAGTATTAATTTGTGCTATTAGTACATGAATTTTTTATTCATTTCTAAACTAAAGTGTTTATTTTTTTAATTGAATGTTCTTTAAATTTTTACTTAATCTTATTTGTGTTTGTAAGGGGTTAGGGCTTTTTTTCTTTAAAAAAAAAAAAAAAAAACTTCTTGACAAAATTTTGCCTTAGATATATTTTGTATGAATATAATGAGTAGTAATATTATTTTCGCTTAAAATAGTCTTATGAGAAAATATATATATATATTTGGCATCCCCCAGTCATAAGATCCTGAATCCACCAGTGATTGATTGAATAAAATCAAGACCATTTCTTTGAGATTTCTGTGACTCCTTTAAGGGAAGAAGAAAGAATCATTTTCTGAAATGTCATAATTTCTTTGATTGTATCATATATCATATGATTATTCTAAAATTTTCACCAACTAGAATTTCATGCACACTTGAGTGTATAGACCATAGTAGAATTTTTATACTGTCATTTTTGGAGATGCATCTGTGAAGTTATGTTACATGGACTCTTCAAAAAGTAAATGAAGTACCTTTGTCGCACACACAATACTCTGACATGAGTATGGGATGTGTACGATACTTTTTTGGTAGGACATACACCTAAAAACATATTAAATAATTTAATTTTATTATATTATTACTTCAAAAAGAAATGAACTGTCAATATTGAACACTATGTTACAGAAGGACATTATTTTACGCAAAAAATATTAAATAATATGAATTTTTAGCAGTGTTCAAGTGTTGTAATATTTATGATTTATTTTATTTTATATATATATAATGTAAAAAAAAAATGGGTGTGATGCTTAGTGGTGGGGCCCACTCCCCACTCACTCTTCTAAAGGCCAAAAGGCTAATATTTTGATCTCAAAGCTTCCTTCTCTCCTCGGCAATATACAGATCTCTTTCCTTTTCTCTTTTTTTTTTTTCTTTTAATTTCTTCTTCTTCTTCTTCTTCTTCTTCTTCTTTTTTTTTTTTTTTTTTTTTTTTTTTTTTTCAACTTCAAACTACAATTATTCTCTCATTTGTGGGAAATTTTGGGTGCCGTTTGCGGCTATTTGAAGCCCATGACGAGATCAACAAGTTGATATGAGCAATTCCTTGGTTGGTGCACTATAGGGAGTCCGAAAATTGAGACCGATTTTGAGGGTTTGATGAGGAAAGTGGGGGTTTTGGCTTAAATTAAGGTAAGGGTGTTTAATCCACAATCTCTTAGATTTTGGTGAATTATTTTTTATAATTTGCGTTTAATTTGTATTCTAATTTGTGTTATTTTCATATTTGTTATATGTTGTATATGAGTGTGTATATATATACATATTAGTTCTTATATGATAAAGAACTATGTTAAATTGATATTAAATTTCATGCCGATATGCTGAATTTTATGATTTTGAAGTATGATGTAACTTCTTAGAATATTCCCATGAGACTTGTATATTATAAATATTTGACTTGTAAGAAATAAAAAAATAAAAAAAAAATTTCTTTATTGGTACGTCATTGAAATGCATAAGACATATATGCATTCATTGGGAAAGAATGGGAAAAATTGATTTGAAAGAAATGAAATGAATTTTGGGAAATAATTTTGAAAAGGATTTTTGTGAAAAATCCGGCCACCTAGGAGTTGCCTAGGGACCGCGGCGTTAGTGAGGTCTTGAGGGGACTAGAGAGACCGTCCTAGTGTGGTTGAGTTACCTGGGCCCTAAATGACTCCATGAAGTTGCCATGGGTCAGGGACAGTGGCCAATCCTCCTTTCGTGCCGCCATAGAGTTGCCATGGGACGGGTTCACTAACGGTTTGGAAATGATAATGGAAATGGTTTTGGAAAAATGGGGAGTGACATTGCATGGCACGGCATCTCAGTGCATGGCATATTTATTTGTGGTATTAGATTAATGATGTGGTATCGTAGTTATACTTTTACTCCCGGCATAGTATGATCCCAATTTCCTTATTCCTATTCAATGTGTGGATTCACGGGGTCTCAAGAGGTGTGCTCACCTCTATTATTTAACATTTTTCAAGGGCTCGGAAAAGAAGTGGCGGATGACAATGTGATACCCCTCGGATCCGCGACACGGGTTGATCAGGCCCAGGCCCAAACCCGAGGGATATCAAACAATTAAAGTATTTTAAATCGAACACAGAATACCACGTGATTAAAGAAATAATATAATGAGCTGAAAGAAACTAAAATATAAAATCCTTTAATATTAAATATACTTAAATCCCAATAATCCAAAACAACCTCCATAAATTAAACAACTTAGGAATTCATCTCTAGTGGACCCCTAATAGAAATCCCAAACTGAATGAAAGTAAAACTGAAGATAAAATCCAAATCCGAGATCTGGAAAGAAGTCCTACATCGTCGGTAGAATGGAAGATCGTCTCTGCTCAGCACGAATAAGCTCAAGCCTAGAACTGACGTACAGCTGAAAAATAGGAGTGGGTCAGGCTCATGAACAAGTTCTAACCTACTACAATCCAAGTAGAGACTCGATACGCTTATACACTCTAACTAACTCAATAATAACTATATAATCCATGTCTATATATATATATATATATATATATATATATCCACACTATGGACTCTCACTGGACTATGATACGGGTCTCAACCTGAGTAGAAGGTACCATGCAAAACGCACCTGAGTGGGCATGACTACCAAAGCCTAACAGGGTACACCCTAACCAGCATAGCCAGATACGCGTCCTATTGCATATACGCTTCCTAACCGTTGACTCTGAAACTCAAGCTCAAGTCACGGT